CATAGAGAGTGCAAAAGAGTCAGACTTCAGGACTGACTCTCCAAATACAAAAATATAACAGTAGCATTTAAAACTGACAAATATGTCAAATTACTAAGGCTACTATGGTGGGTTGAATGGTGGTCCCCAAAAGATATGTCCGTGCCCTAACTCTAAACCCCTATGACTGTGGGACTTGGCTTGGAAAAAGGGCCTTTGCACATGTAATTAAGGATCTCAAAATAAGGTTACCCTGGATTATCATAGTGGGCCTCAAATCCAATGTCAAGTATCTTATATAAAAGAGGCAAGAGAACAAGGGAGACAGAGAAGGCTAGGAGCCAATGGAGGCAAAGGTTGGTGTGATGCAGCCACCATCCGCTGGAAGAGACAAGGAAGGATTCTCCCCTAGAGCATCCAGGGGACAGGTCCCGCCTGACACCTTGGTTTTGGACTTGTGACTCCAGAACTGTGAGACAATACATTCTGTTGTTTCAAGCTGCCAAGTTTGTGGTTGTTTGTTATTGCAACTAGGAAACTAAAAACCACTGCTAGTCGCTGCTATACTAGCTGCTCTTCTCGTGGAAAAGCTGTAACTTCTCATGTGATTATCGTAACTTGAAGACCATATACATCTTTTTATTTTTTATTGTTTTTTTTAGTCATACATGACAGTAGGATTCATTTTGACATAATTATGAAAGCATGCAATATATCTCATTCTAATTCAGTCCCCAGTACCCCTCCTTCCCCTTTTATCCCCCTAATCTGGTCTCTTCCTTTCTGCCATTTACCCATAGTTATATTTTAAAAATTCATTTCTTGTGGATGTACATAATGGTGAGATTCACTGTGGTGTATTCATAGATGTAGACAGGAAAGTTGTGTCAATTCATTCCACTTTCTTTTCCCCATTCTTCCTCCCTTCCTTTCCCCTTTGTCTACTCCGTTGAACTTCAATTCTTCTCCTCTTGCCCCACCCCACTTATTGTAGGTTAGCTTTCCACAAAGCAGAGAAAACATTCGACCTTAGGTTTTGGGGATTGGCTTATTTCACTAAGCATGATAATCTTCAGATTCATCCATTTACTAGCAATAGTCATAAAGTCATTCTTAATGTCTGAGTAATACTCCATTGTGTATATATACCATGCTTTCTTTACCCATTCATCTGTTAAAGGGCACCTAAGTTGGCTCCATAGCTTAGCTATTGTGAATTGTGCTGCTATAAACATGGATGTGGCTGCTGATTTTAAATCCTTTGGCTATATACCAAGGTGTGGGAAACTGGGTCAAATGTTGGTTCCATTCATAGTTTTTTGAGGAATCTCCATACTGCTTTCCAGAATGGTTGCACCAATTTGCAGTCCCACCAGCAAGGTTTGAGTGATCATTTTCCCCCACATCCTTGCTTACGTTTATTGTTACTCTTGAAAATTATCATCCTGACTGGAGTGAGATGGAATCTCAGTATAGATTTAATTTGCATTTCTCTAATTGCTAGAGATGTTGAACATTTTTTCATGTTTGTTGACCATTGACATTTTTTCTTTTGAGAAGTGTCTATTTATTTCCTTTGCCCATTTATTGATTGAGTTATTTGTTTTTGTTTGTTTGTTTTAGGTACCAGGGATTGAACTCAGGGGCTTTCAACCACTGAGCCACATTCCCACCCAATTTTGTGTTTTATTTAGATTCAGGGTCTCACTGAGTTGTCTAGGGCCTCACTAAATTGCGGAGGCTGGCTTTGGAATCACCATCCTCCTGCCTCAGCCTCTGGAGCCACTGGGATTACAGGCATGTGCCACCATGCCAGGCAGGGTTATTTGGTGTTGTTTGGTGTTAGGTTTTTTTGAGTTCTTTGTATATCCTGGATATTAATGCCCTATATGAGCAGCAGGTGATAAAGATGTTCTCCTATTCAGTAGGCTCTCTCTTCACACTCTTGGTTGTTTCCTTTTTGTACAGAAGCTTTTTAGTTTGATGCTATCCCTTTTGTTGATTTTTTTTTTATTTTACTTCTTGCGCTTTAGGAGTCTTTGTTAAAGAAGTCAGTTCCTGAGCTGATATGTTGGAGTGTTGGGCCTACATTTTCTTAAAGCAGGTGCAGGGTCTCTAGTCTAACCATGACATCTTTACATATCAACATAACAAAAATCAGGCATAGAATTATTTCTGATCAGGAGCCCAGGTTCCCAGGAAAGAGTCAAAGCTGAAACTCCTAATTTTGGTTTTTCTTTCTTTCTTTTTTCATACCCAGGAATTGAACCCAGGGATGCTTAACCACTGAGCCATATCCCCAGCCCTTTTTTTATATTTTATTTTGAGACAGGGTATCGTTGAGTTGCTTAGGGACTTGCTAAGTTAATTTTGTTTTTTCTTAGGTGTAAAATGTTTTGGGTTTTTGTTTTGCCTAAGCATGGTATGTGAACTATTTACTGATTTAGGGAACAGGGCAGATTTTTGTTTCTACTGGTTGTGGTGAGATGAAATCAGTTAATAAATGTTAGAACAATACCTGGTACTACTAGGCATTCTGTGTATTAACTATCGCTATCCTTTTTGTTAACTTGTTTGTTCTATATTTTTTGCAGTATCATTTTTTCCCCCTAGTTCACCTTCTCCTTTATACTAAAACATAGACCACTGGAGGTGGAAGAGCCACAGTACCTGAACCGGTTTCTTTGGGCCTCTATGCAAAAGATCCAAGTTAATCTTACCTCTCTTGTGGTCCTGTTGTTCTTCCTATTTTATCCTATTTGGTGAGCAGTGGATCCTAGTAGCAATTCCCCCCCCTCCTTTTTTTAATGCAATTAATTTATTGGTTTTGCGGTGCTGGGGATTGAACCCAGCCAGGGCCTCAGGTATGCTAGGCATGTGCTCTACTAATGAGCTATATCCCCAGCCCTCTCCTCTTTTTAAGGAGAAAAATTTGTTCTTAGGCAAATGTTCATACTGAAGTGATGGTAACCAGGTTCTCATTGCATCCTTGTGGAAAGGGAGGGAGAGCAGCTGGGGTAAGAGGACAGTTAGCCTGGGGCCTCCAGGGGTGAGTTTTGAGCAGGGTGTGGAGTCACCAGTGAGCACATTGAGGAGCACAGTGGCCACAAGGCTGAGCCTGGCTTAGGCTCAGATGGTCTTTTCCAAGGGCTCCAACATGGGGCGCTTTCCTGGAAGTTTGTTTACTCATTCATTTGGAAAGCAAGCATCTCCTGGGTTGAGTAACTAATGTTATTGAGCATCTACTATGTTCCAGCTCAGGCCGTGAGGCTATAGCTGGGACCAAACAGACAAAAATCTTTGTCCTTGAGGAGCTTATGCCCTGGTGGGGGGACAGATAACAAACAAGATAGATAAATAAAATATTCAGTATGTTAGATAGTGATGAATGCTAAGAAGAAAAATGATGTGGGGGAGGAAGGTGGTGGATAGGGAGAGGGAGCTGTGATCTTAGCCCCTTGAAAGGCCTCCCCGATAAGGAGAAACTGGAGTCAACGCCCAGGGGAGGGTGGTGAGGTGAGGCAGGCGGGTGTCTGGGGAAACATTTGTTGAACTCCTAAAACAGCAGACATCTGCAGCAGGAGAGGGGAGGGCCTGGCCTTTGAGAAATCCAGCAGAAAGCCACAGGAATCTGGGCTAGGTTTCTCATTTTGCAAAGGGCAATACAAAGTGTGTCCCTCATGTGTTAACAAATGAAAATTGAGAAGCATAATAAACTATATTCAGTAAATGCAAGATCTATAATTTAAAAATCACTAATAAATTATATCTCTTTTCTAGCATAGCCTGGGACTTTAGCAACCATTTGTTGTTAGTGGTTCCTTTTGTTGTTGTTGTTTTAACTTTTTAATGTATATTTTTAGTTGTTGATGGACTTTCATTTTATTAAATTATTTATATGTGGTACTGAGAATTGAACCAGTGCTGCACACTTGCCAGGCAAGTGCTCCACCACTGAGCCACAACTGGAGCCTGTTAGTGGTTTCTAAACTTGCCAGATGATAGGAATCCACTGGACTGCTTGGTTTAAAGGTAGACTCCACCCCTGTCCAGAGGAGGGCTCTGAGACTCTGTGTATTTAAGAGCTCCCTGGGTGATTCTCTTAAAGGGCAGGTTTGAGAGACTTGTTAAGTTTCAAAAACAAGGAAATGGAAGCTTATCGAGGGTGATGTCTTGGTCAAGGTGGATGGGTCAATTGCGGGCAGAACCAGGAATGATTCTTAGATTTCCCAAGTCCCTTGTCCATGAAAGGTTTTTTGCACAACACAAAGATCACCTCTGATATTTCAACTTGGGACACAATAAGATACAAGGCCTAAAAGCTGAGGCTGGCTCAGACATCTGAATGTACCAGTTACTATAACCAATCTCCAAATGGCACGCCGAGTGTCCTGGCAGCCAAGACTGCAGGAGAATTGAGTTGGGTTATTCCATTCAATAACACAATGTATAGTTATTTCATTTCATAAGAACATCTTTTTCCTCGAACAGATTTTTTAAATTTTTATTTATTTATTTTGTACTGGGGATTGAACCCATGGGCACTATACCACTGAGGTACATTCCCAATCCCCCCCTTTTTTTGGGGGTGTACCAGGGATTTAACTCAGGGGCACTCAAGCACTGAGCTACAGCCCCAGACCTATTTTGTATTTTATTTAGAGACAAGTTCTCACTAAGTTGCTTAGTGCCTCACTTTTGCTGAGGCTGGCTTTGAACTCATGATCCACCTGCCTCAGGCTCCTGAGCCGCTGGGATTATAGGTGTGCACCACAGTGCTCAGTCTTTTTTTTTTTTACTTTTTTATTTTGAAGCAGGGTTTTGCTACATGCCTAGGTTGATCTTGAACTTGCAATGTCTGACCTCAGCCTCCCAAATTGCTGGGATTAGAGTTGTGTGCCACTGTGCCCAACTTCATCTAGCACATTTTGACTTCGAAACCCTCCGCCTCCTAACATGGCAAGTAGAAAAGAAAAGAGAAGATAAGGAGGGAGAAAATGGCAAGAGGAGATCTATATTCCCCCAATTGGAGTGATTTCTTCGGTGTAATTTCTCTTCTGTGGGTGGCCTGGAGTTTCAGGCTCTCAGGCTATGAGTGACATGAGCTTGAAGGGACCCTGGAATAGATTTCTTGAAAATAGGTTTTTGATGCTGCCTAACATTCTTCATGAATGTGTCGGCTGTGAGGCCTGAAAAGACAAAGCACAGTGTGACCCATGGCGGGTTGTAGGACCCTCTGTGTTACTGGGCAGTACTTTCCCATTTGGGGTCAGAGGTCAGGTTATACCGCTCTTCCTCCACAGACATTTGGTGTCAAATTAGTAGGAAATTTTTTTGAATAAAAGCTGGTTTTATTCCAATCCAGGTTTAAAGGAAGATGGAAGAAACCTTTTGTCTCAATATCTCCATCTTATTAAAAGCTAAAAAAGACAGTTGGCCTTGATTCAAAAGGAACAGGAGAGTCCCAATTGAATTCCGTTAGTTCCCTTCCTCCAGGATTGGCTGGCCACAGGTGGTATTATAGTCCCTTATGGCTGTCATTCAGTTTCTAGCAGCCTTGCCCAGGGACCCTTCCTGGATCCTGGCTAGCTGAATTCAGCTGGGCACCTGTATAAGAAATAAGAAATAGGCAAAGGATGGAAAAAGGAAAAATGAACTTTTGCACTTTGATTGGGAGAGAAGCAGCGAGATTGCTTCTCTACTCTATAAATCGGTTATGATTGATAGAAGCAAGAGCCAGGTGATATTCATATGTAGATATAGCCAAGCAGTGTTAATCAGAAATGTGACAGTCTTAGCTGCCTTGGTGTCTGTTGAGCCAGAGGATGTAGCCCTCCAGTCTTTACTCCCAGAGTGAGGAATTTGTCCTCAGTGTCAGAAGGGCGCTGCATTAGAGTCTGGTCTGGACTGGAAGGTGAATGGTCAGCCCAGGTCTCTTGGGGACTGGGCGGTTACTGCCTTGTAGAAGCATCTGTGACTCTACTCTGCTCCACTGGGCAGGAGGGGTTGGTTGGGATTCGTGCATGCATGTGTGTGTGTGCTCTGCATGTGATGGTCCCCTGCCACACTGGGGGGAACCTAGCTAACACACTCCTCCAGAGTTACATTTGACTACATCAGTGACTTTGGCTTTCTGGGCAAATCTGGACTCCTGGGGAAAAAAAAGTTTCTCTCTCCAAGCCTGCTCTATGGTGCAGGAGGAGACACACAATTGCCTTTGTTGTTTGTTCTTCCCGTGTGGGGACAAAAGCCCTTTCAGTTGGTGTGGAATGTACAAGAGTTTTATGCCAACGGCTGCTGGGTCTTGGCCTGGAATCCTGCAGATCAGGCTGAGTAGGGGAGTTGGTTGCTTCATCCAAAGCTCCCCTGGGTCCTATCTGCCATATCTCCATGTGGTCAGGGTCTACCACAGGGGCCTCACTGCCCGCTCTGTCTTCTCTGAGTGTAGCTGTGATCTCCTGTGACATTCCTGTCCTCATCAAGTGCTGAGAACCCGTGGCCTGTGCAGGTAGGTGCTGTGCCAGGGTTCATGACTTCATTCTACCCTCCTAACTTGGAGTTGCCTGGTGTTATCTCCACTTTGCCTCTGAGGACACCATCTTCAGAAGGGCCTGAGGGACAATGCTGAGTCTAAAGCTGCGGCAATAAAGGGAGGGGATGGCTCTGCCCCGGAGCTTGAGCACCACAGGGCCTCAACCGGCAGTGGTCATGCTGTTATTGGAAACTTAAATGAAACAAAAAACACAACTCTGGTGGGAAAAGGGAAGGAGTGGAGGAAGGCCACCAAAAAACTTTCGAGTGGCACAAGTGGCCTTTTCTCTTTGCTGTTTCCATTCCTGGGTGTTTCCACTGTCCAGGAGCCAGAGACTCACCACAAAGAAAACTGTTGCCAAAATGTTGCAGGGTTGTGCTGTTTGGGGAGGGAACTTTTCCCAGGTCACTATTGTTTGCTGTTTTTTTTTTTTTTTTTTACCAGGGTCCCGCATCTCCTAGGGTGCTGAAGCCAACCACAGAGTTGAACTTCGCTCTAATTTCAAAATGTCAACAAGCCTGTGCTACTGGGAAGTGCCCGGGAACAGACCTGCCACCAGCCCCAGGGGAGCCCCAGGTACAGGAATGAGGGACTAACAAAGGATCCTGGGAAACCTCTGTGGGCTTGAAAGCAATTTCATTAGGTCTATCCAGGAGCCCGGCAGATTGCACAATCGTGCTATCTTACAAACAAGAGAAGAAGAAAGGAGAGAGGGTTGCTGAGGGGAGAAGGGTGTGGGCATCAAATGGGCTTTTATATGTGATCTTGTTTAAACAAGACTCTTATCAAGGAGTAATACTAAACTTTGCTCTTTTCTTATTGCCTCAGCTCCGTGGGGAATTGGTATGTGACTTTTGGATTCCATGAGGGAGGATTAAATTGCCTCCTTGGAGATAAGAGCCCCAAATAAGCTGATAGCATTGATAGAAATGAGGGAGGATTCCCTTGTGTCCTGACGGACTTTGATTCTGCTATCTAGACTCTTGTCTTCTGTGCACAAACTGTACATCAAGACAGAAGAAAGCTGGTCTTGTGGAAGAGCAGCATAGATGGGGTGCCTCCCCTGAGCTGAGCTGTGTGCAGGAGGGGTGGGATTCCCAGGAATGAGCCACACCTGGCCTGCAGGAATGGTCCAGGTCCTCAGTGGTAAGGCTCAGGACGTTGATTTTTAAATGACTAGTAAATCACCTAACACTCTGTTTAGAGCTCTGGGAAAACTCCCAAGTAATTGTCAAACAATTAAGTGTGTATTTATGTCCAAGAAGTTCACAGTACCGTGTTAGAAAATGAAGGGCAAGTCAGGGGTAGGAAGTGGATACGGGAGAGGCTTGAAGCCCCAGGGCTTAGCTAAGCGACTTGGGCTAGTTTGCTCTCTTGTTCTGTGTTTTCTCACCTATAAAATGGAATCATTTTCAGGGTGATCCTGAAGGTACTTGGAACAGAGTAAGACTTTGACCTCTGCCTTTCAGGTGCTTTCAACCTAAAGGGGAAAGCAAATACGGTATGTTTGAAACTAACACCATCTGACCTGGTTATTCTGAGAACTGTGATGTAGAAGTCAGAGGAAGACAAAAACCCTTACTCAGGACTTAGGGTGATGGGGGAGTGGGATGTAACTCAGTGAAAGCACATGCCTAGCATATGTGAGGTTCTGGGTTCAATCCCCAACACTGTAATTAAAAATAATAATAAATAAATAAATAAATAAATAAATAAATAATTTGTTTTAGGTAGGAGGTGAAGAATTGGGGCCTCAGAATTGGGTAGGAATTTAGTAAGTAAGAACATTCCAGCTGGAAATAAATAGCATGTACAAGGATATGAAGGCAGGAAAACGCAAGGCATACCTGTGGGTTCCAGGTTTCTTCAGTTTGGCTCCAGCTAAGGTCCTTCGCGGGGAACTGTGGGAAATGAAGTTTGATACTAGGTGGCTGACTTTTGAGTACCAGCATTCTTGTATATGCAGTATACATATACAGTGGAAGGTTTTTTTTTTTTTTTTTTTTTTAAATATTTATTTCTTTTAGTTATTGGCGGACACAACATCTTTGTTTGTATGTGGTGCTGAGGATCGAACCCGGGCCGCACGCATGCCAGGCGAGTGTGCTACCGCTTGAGCCACATCCCCAGCCCAGTGGAAGGGTTTTGAAGTGGGGTTTACTTCTCTTGTCTCTCCTAGGGTCATCTGTGCTTGAATATTGAGAAGCCACCACCATCAGCGGATCCACAGAGACTCCATCAGCTTTGGCTTCTTGGGAACTGGTATTCTGGGGGCAGGGTCTGACCAGCATGCAACATAATCCTTTCTCCATTTTTTCCACATTTGGGGCAGTTAAGACCAGCTGTGAAATGCCCTGAGAATGGGGATGTGTTTGGAGAGGCTGCTGTGGGACACCAAATGGAGCTAAAACTTGTCTGGAACTGCACTGTCCAATATGGTAGCCACTAACACTTTTGGTTATGAAGCACTTGGTCTGTGGCCGCTCCAAGCTGAGAAATGCTGTGAGGGTAAAATACACACCACATTTCAAAGACTTATCACTTAAAAAAAGAATATACATCGTCTCATTAATATTTTAAATATTGACTATATGCTGATAAAATATTTTGGATATTTGGGCTAAATAAAATGTTATGAAGCTTCATTTTACTTGTTCTTTTTTTTTCCTTTTGTATATGGCTACTAGAAAATTAAAAATTATCTATGTGGCTCACATTACATTTTTTTTGGACAGCACCTAGAGATCTAGGCTGGGTGGTGTATGACCTAGATAGTTACCAGGGCTGTAACTCTATACTCCTACTAGTTTGGGTGATGTGTCTGCCTTCTAATGGAGCCAGGCTCAGATACAAACCAAATCTCATTGTGCTTAGGATAAGAAGTTCAGTGAGGAAAGGGTATTTCAATTGTTGTTATCAGTTCTCCAAATTTCTCCACAATTCAGCTCCAAAATTCTGACTTTCAGTTGAGGGTATAGGATGATAGTATATAGCGTCATGCTGGTCCCTTTGGAGAGAAAACCTCATGAAAGTAAAGGCAGAAGCTTTCGGAAGGTCTGGAGTGCTCAGTGGCTCCTTGGTTGGGCTTTTCTGTGAACACTCCAAATACCTAAGAGTCAGGAACTGGTTGAGGGGCTAGGAAAAGCAGGCCTCTGAAAACCACATTGCACATGAAGGAAATATGCCAAACTGTTTACAGAAAATTTTCTCAAGGTTTTGTATTTAGGGATGATTTTATTTCCCTCCTGCACATTTTAGGATTTTCCTAATTTTCTACAGTGAATAACCCGAAGAAACCTTTTTTTTTTCCTTATGGAAAAGTGCAAGCCCAGTGTGTTGACACAGGCCTGTAATCCAAGTGACATGGGAGGCTAAGGCAAGGGGATTGCATGTTTGAGGCCAACCTCAGCACCTTAGTAAGATCCTGCCTCAAAATAAAAAATAAAAACAGCTGGGGAGGTAGCCTAGTGGTAGAAAACCCTTGGGTTTAATCCCCAGTACCACCACTAAGGATTGCAGGGAGAAAAAAAAAGTACAGTGCTTTTTGGAACAAGAGGGAGACAGTAGTGAATTTTCAGTTGCTAATAGATGGGGGCCAGCCAGGGAGGGGACTCAGACCAAAGTCCCCAGGCTTAATAAAACAAAACTTTTTTTTTTTCAGGGAGAGGGGATTGAACTCAGGGGCACTCAACCTCTAAGCCACATCCCCAGCCCTATTTTGTATTTTATTTAGAGACTGAGGCTGGTTTTGAACTCTCAATCCTCCTGCCTAAGCCTCCCGAACCTCTGGGATTACAGGCATGTGCCACCACGCCTAGCTAAAATAAATCTGCATGGACAGAGGTGGGTTTTGTGAAGGCTAGGGAGGCTTCATCAGCCTGACTGCTGAATACTGGGGTCATGTGTAAGTTCAGGGGACTTCCCAGGCATACAGACTGAATTCGGTCTGTATGAACAACTTACCATTGGTAAGTCCTACCATCAGTAGGCCTCAGCTTCCTCACCTGCTGTGGGTCTGGTCACAACTCTAAAGGTAGAAAATATTCTATAAACACTAGCTATCATTATCATGGAGATGTAGACTTTCAAACATCCTAATAAGAATTTATTTTTTAATTTAGTACTGGGGATTGAACCCAGAGGTGCTCTACCACTATGCTCTACCCCCAGCCCTGTTTATTTATTTATTTATTTTTAATTTTGAGACAATGTCTTGTAGCTAAATTGGCTGGGTTGGCCTCACTTGCAATCCTCCTGCCTTAGCTTCCTGCGTCTCTGGGATTATAGTGCCACCTTAGTAAGTAAGGCCCGGCCTAGTAATAGGAAATCTTAAAAAGATTCCCAGGTTGCACCATGGGGGTATTTCACAAGCTTCTACTTCTACATAAAGTTGGAACAGAACAGGTTGCTGAAAGGCCTACAGGGAGGGGAGGCCACAGAGGTGCACACAGCTCTGTCCTGCCACAGCCGTTGACATTCTATTTCTCATATCAAGGTCCTGAGAAAATGTCATGTTTCCAGAAACTCTAATTAGGAAAACACAGAATAATGGTAAACATTTTCACAGAGTTCCTCCATCAACAACCTGCCTGGTACAGAGGGCAAGCAAACAATCCTCTGGACATCTCAGTTGGCCTTAAGTGGGGCTCTAGCTGGTTGATGCCAGGACTAATTGACAGCATTTCCCTGCCTATCACAATGACAATCACAATGAGTCATTTTATTGCTAATGGGCTTGATGTTCAGAAAGAAAGAGAACATTTTCCCCTCATGCTTTTATGTTTGTTTGTTTGTTTGTTTGGAGGACTAGAGGTGGAACATAGTGTACTTTACTACTGAGCTACATACCCAGTCCTTTTTATTTTATATTTTGAGACAGGGTCTCACTAAGTTGCTGAGGCCACCCTTGAATTTGCAGCCCTCCTGCTTCAGCCTCCTCAATTGCTGGGATTACAGATGTATGCCACCATGCCCAGCTTCCCATCATTCCTTTTTTGGTGGGGAGGGCAGTTCCTGGGATTGAACTCAGGGGCACTCAACCACTGAGCCACATCCCCAGCCCTATTTTGTATTTTATTTAGAGACAGGGTCTCACTGAGTTGCTTAGTGCCTCGCTAAACTGAGTCTGGCTTTAAACTCTTGATCCTCCTGCTTCTGAGTTTATAGGTGTGCGCCATTCTGCCCCTTCCTATCATTCATAATGTTCATATTAAATTGCTTCAGAATTTTTTAAAATGTATTTTTGTTTATATATTTGTTTTAGGGGTTTATCTCCACTAAGAGGCTATGCCACCCTGTTAGTTCTTGGCCTGCTATAGTTGACCTGTTGTCACGGCCTCTGGGCCGTGAGTAAGGACACCACCCAAAACTGGGCCTGGAGGTGCAGTAGAAGTTTGGTTTCTCTATGGTCTGCAAGTCGTTGTCATTGGGCCAGGCTCATGGAAGTCCTGATGGAGTATGGAAAAACAAAGTCAATTCACAATAGACCTGCAGACCCCAAGAAAATCACACACAGGTCACACACACAACAATCCCTTAAACCAATGGTTCTCAACCCAGTGAGTGATTTTTCCTCCTAGGGGATATTTGGCAATGTCTGAAGACATTTTGTTTTGTGAAGGGACAAGGGTACCACTGGTGTCAGGCAGGTAGAAAACAGGAATTCTGCTAACAATGTACAGAGGTTTCCCTTTCCTCCCTACACCACCCCACCTCACACACAAAAAGACAATCTGGGTCTGGGGTGGTGGCGAATACCTGTAATCCCAGCGATGGGGAGGCTGAAGCAAGAGGATCGCAAATGGGGGGGGCAGCCTCAGCCATTTAGTGAGGCCTTAAGCAACTTCATGAGAATGTGTCTCAAAATTAAAAAAGAGAAAAAGAGCTGGGGTTGTAGTTCAGTAGTAAAGTACCTATGGGTTAATTCCTCAGTACCAAAACAATCAAATAAACAAACCCAAAAAACAAAAACAAAATGCAACATACACACACAGACAATCTGGTCTAAAACATTAACAGTGCTGAGGTTGACAGACCCTGGGTTCGGCAGGATCAGCACCAATGCTCTCCATTATGTGCTCCTAATCCACCCATCCAACCACTCTCCCAACACATACTCCTGCTCCCTTCAGGCAGGTCCTGCCCCTATTCCTAAACCTGCCTGTCTTCATTTTGACCTCTGTACCTTTTGCCTTTGCTCATGTGGGTCCCTCTGCCTGGAACATTCCTCTAAGCACCTGTCAGAACCCTACCTTTCCTTTAAAGCTCAGACTTCTCCTCTCCTGTGAATTTGTCCTCAACAACCCAGTCACTATAACCTTGTTGCAGGGGACAGACGAGGCAAGACACCAAATAGGAACAGGAAGCAGGTTTATTTAGCTATAGCTAGGTTCAAAGGGCAAAGCTTTCATTGTAATCAGTCAATCTCCCTGAACCCCAAGTTCAGGTCGTTTCCGAACTTCATACCCAGCGTGTGAGGGGAGGGGCTCAGAAGTTCACAGTCTGAAGAAGTTCACACAAAAGCAGCTTTTTCTTTCACTGTTCTGGGCAAATGAACCCAAGGACAGTGCCTGAAAAGGGGAGAGCTTCTTCTCCTCCCCTTTCTTTCCTCCCCCTGCCAACTGTCACCAAAGAGCCCAACTGGTAACTTCTCTTATCTTAGAAATGTAGACATCTCTGTGAAGCCCCAGCTCAAGGCCAGAGGCCTTGTTAAAGGATCTGTCTTTTTTTTTTTTTAAACATTTTGCATTTGCAAACACACTTCTACAAACTACTATGCTGGATAAATGTTTGTGAAAAACTAGTAAAGGGGCGATCAGCACCTGGAGTACTGATTTCTTCCAGGCCAGTGGCCAAGTAAGATAGAGCAACAGGAAAATAGGAAGTTTACCTACATTGAACTCTTTTGCAGAGACTCTTTTGCTTATAGTCCTAAAATCAATTATGGTCAAGATTTCTGGAGAAGCTTAGTTAAGATTTTCTGTGGAGGAGGGGGTGTCGCTGACTGTCTCCAGAAGCAAGGTTGGCCACTTCCCATTTGCAATGCCCTGTAAGATGGCTATTATATTATACTTGGTTTAAGCTCTTTAGGGTAGGTATTGAAGCTTAGTATGTGCTTTCTTTCTTTCCTTTTTGTTTTTTTTTTGTACCAGGGATGGAACCCAAGGGCACTCTACCACTGAGCTATATCCTTATCCCTTTTTACTTTGAAACAGGGTCTTGCTAAGTTGCTTAGGGACTTGCTAAATTGCTGAGAACTTGAACTTGCCATCCTTCTGCCTTAGCCTCCTGAGTCCCTGGGATTGCTGGCGTGCATCGCCACGCATGGATTCTTCTTCACTTTCTTGCCTTTCTTGGCCAATGATAACAAAAAAACATATTATAATGCTTTGTATTTTCATAGAATTTTCAGATCCATTTGAGTTTTCTTTAAAGTAGCCAAGGCAGAGATTTTTAATTTGTCAGATGAGGAGACAACTCCAAGGCCTGATTTGCAAAGACTCATATGAATAATATAGTTACAGTTTCATAGAGGTCTTCTTTGCAAAACTAGAAATGGGCTGGTTTCCTGCAAGCTGGCCTTCCTTCCCTATAACTTTCTCTCTCTCTCTCTTTAAA